AGAAAGTGAAAATAATATTTCTCTCTCAGGGGAGGGTGACCTTAAGTGTTTATTTGCTTCATGGTTTTTGTTTCAGTAATAGCACACACGCACACACAGACGACGTACAGCACAACACAACTCTGTTTCTTTTTCGTTTGCTTGCTGTTGTCCTTGTTTTAAAGCTGGTTGGACTGATTGATGAAGTATTGTCGGAGGGGAGGGCGATACCTGGAACAGGGCACACAGAACAGGGCAGAAGCAAAACAAAACACCACACTATACTCGTAACACCCCCTCCCATAAGAGCAAACCATTAGTTTGCTAAAGGGGCTTAACAAAACATAGCTTTAAAATGACACTAGCCCAATTGGAGAAAAGAAGTAGATACCTCTTCAAGTAAGTTATATGTTGAAACTAAAATTAAGTTGGCTTTACATTCAAAAACTTAAGTTGCTTTTACAAAGACCTGCCTTGCTACATCTAAATAATAATATGATGCAAAAAGTTGCCTTGATTTTTTAAAAAGTAAATCATGCAGAAAATGTTCATCAGTGTAAAGTCTAAAAGACCTTTGGGTGTAAAACTATATCAAATACCAACTGCAAATTAATGAACATGGGCTGTATGTTTTTGTTTGATTAGATTTATATTCTGCCACTATGAAGTTTGACTCGATGCATTATATGTCATTCAGTCACTAAGTTACAAGAATAAGATTATGTGAAAAATCCCTTCACCTTGGAACTGCAATGGGCTGCATTTTAAAATGATTCATTAATTTTTTTCCCATATACATTTACTGTATCAGAACACAGAGAAGCCAAATGTTTTTGTTTCAGAAACAAGAGCCAGTTTTCCATAGCTGTGGTGTCAGTGGGGGTACTTGTTTTACCTCAATACAGGCTTTGTCTGCCTGTATAGACCCTGACTTTCAGTGGGTCAACTAAGGACATTACTTTCATTTTTACTTTTGTCTTAAACACACTGACTACTGGTTCTTTGTTTGTAAATTCCCCTTAACATTCCTGGAAGCACTACTTTCATTTTCATCTGGGCGCGGCCTAAAGTAGGAGAAAGCAAGGACAGCTAGGACGGAGGAGAGGGGGAAAAAGGGGAAAACCAGAAAACATTTTCTCCATAAAATATGATCCAGTTTCACTAGAATCTGCCACATAGTTACTAAGATGATGACCATGGTAACAATCATTCCTGCCTTGCATCAGTATGTTAACATTGTTATTGTTTTTGCTTGACTGAACTTATATTCTGCCTGAAAATGTTGTTTCAGAAACTGGAGTGTGAGTGGGGGTACCTGCTTTACCTGTCCTTGCAAAGTGTTATTTTGTCTTAATTTTACAATCAAACCTAAAAACTCTGTACATACATCATTCTGCAAAGACCCCCTTTGCACTTTGGCTTTTTCTACCACTGAGGTGCCCTTGAGCAAGGCCCTTAACCCCAACTGCTCCGGTGGAACTGCTCAGTGGCCAGCAGATCAGACTGTGGTTGTGTGGTTTATAGGCCTAGAGGCAATTCATATATAAGATTATATGTCTCGCTGTCTGTCACAATGTTTCAGTAATAGCACACACACGATGTACAGCACAACACAACTCTGTTTCACAGTTTGTTTGCTGTTGTCCTTGTTTTAAAGCTGGTTGGACAGATTGATGAACTATTTCAGGTACGCTTGACCAGTCGGAGGGGAGGGGGGTACCTGGAACAGGGCACAAAGAACAGGGCAGAAGCAAAACAAAACACCACACTATACTCGTAACACCCCCTCCCTTAAGAGCAAACCATTAGTTTGCTAAAGGGGCTTAAGAAAAACAATATTTTAAGCACTATAAACACAATAAATACCTACACCTACCCTCCCATAAGATGTATGAAGCATATTTAGATTGTACAGTCTCACCCACGGGATAGGGCATCAGCCACAACCTCCAGACAGCTGTTCCAAACAGCGAATATCAAAAAGGGCTCTGCCATCCCGGAGGTGAGCATAAATGAATATCTGTATTCATCCAGCTCTCCTGTGGGTCAACTCAGAAGATTCATTTCAGTTTTAATTTTTTCTTAAACATACTGACTACTTGTATCTTGTTTGGAAATTCCCTATAATGTCCCTGGCAGCACTATAGCACTGCACAGCACACATCCTTTCCATTTAAGGGTAGTCACACAGCCAATATAAAAAAACTGCTCTCAGATGCACTTCAGGGAGGAAGACAGCTGTATGTTGCGCAAGCTCAAGCAGACCTAACAAGCTTGTAGGTGGTAGCTGTTTGGTCTTGCAACACAATGTTGGTCACCCAGTGGTAATTTAGTCAAAACTTTAGAGTATGTCTGTTATCAATGTATTTATTATCAACAGACGTGTACTTAGCGTTAAAAGTCAAATTTTCAAAATTTATTTACAATAAAACCACAAAGACCTGTTTGCCAAGCGGAGCCAAAATGTTGTGGAATAGGTAAACGTTTCGGCTTTAGCTTCCCAGACTACAGACTTTAACAACACTTAAGCCTAAAAATTATCAGACAAAAATAGGGAAGTAAATTACCTTAGTATATACAGTATTATAATATGCATGTAAGATGTAAAGTACCATCTAGCAATATGTAATATTTACTTTATAGACCTTAGTTTTGAATTCAGAGATAATTGTTTGCTCTTCGTTAATTTGCAGTTGGTATTTGATATAGTTTACCCAAAGGTCTTTTAGACTTTAACCTGATGAAAATTTTCTGCATGATTTACTTTTTAAAAAATCAAGGCAACTTTTTGCATCATATTAATATTTAGATGTAGCAAGGCTAGTCTTTGTAAAAGCTACTTAATTTTTTGAATGTAAAGCCAACTTAATTTTAGTTTCAACATATTACTTACTTGAAGTGGTATCTACTTCATTTCTCCGATTGTGCTAGTGTTGCATCTACCAGAAGATATCCGCTTGACAATATTCTTGTTGTCATCATTGCTGCGCGGCTAATCTGCCCTCTCCTCCTCGAGTTTAAAAGAGATGCCAGTGTCTTTTTCCTTCCCAGTCTTCAGAATGTGAAAGTGCTAGAGTTTCCGCTGGACAAATACATAAAGACCACCCAGAAAATCTGTGAGAAGCTGGAACTATGCAGTATTTACAGCAGAAATTCATAACAACTGTGTCTTTAACAGCAGTATCAGTGACTTTTGCCTGAAAATGAACAAAGAATCTCTGGTGGACCTCGATGTGGATTTGTCTGAAGATTACTTTTATGCACTATATATTTGTCTGACTGATCCTTTCAAAACTTTCAAAAACTCAGCCATGCTAGCAGCCCTTAGGCTGAACCAGGTGCTCTGAACTAAAAACCTGTCGTGGACTGTTTTCTTAATCCCACCTACTCCCAGTAGATTTCTGTCCATTAACACCAAGGCAGGGAGCAATAAGTACGAGTAATGAGTAATAAATTACATATTTTGAGTAACTATTAACTAAAAATTAATTGCCTTGCTAAGAGCAGTATAAGAGCAGTGATTTGATCAGGGCAGTACAAATTCACCTGTGTCGAGTCAAGATGGTTGTTGTTACTCCCAGAGCTCATCAGGATGATCATTAGTCTTAATTATCCCAACACAGAAATTCGCATTGATAATGATATGACTGACTGCAGTGCAAAGTAATTACTTAGAAAATACAAACAAATATGTTTTGTACAAATACAAAAAGTGCAAAATCATTTTTCAAAAAATGTTTTCAGGGAACAGTGTTTTGTAAAAATCTCTGCAAGTTTGATTTTCTTTATTTTGTCTTTCCTCTTAAACAGGATGGACCAGAACTTTAGATGGTCTTCTTGTTCCAGGAAGTTTCATGTTCTGGTTTCATCAGTGAGTTCAGCAAGCATCAACCCAGGATGCTTCAGTTTCTTGAAGAACTGAAGGAGTGTGCTGTTCAGGTAGACAGGATGAATAAAAGGGCAAAGATCTCCAGTGTGGCAGGCAGCTCAGTTGGGGCAGCTGGAGGTGTGCTTTCCATTCTAGGTTTGATACTTATTCCTTTTACAACTGCCGGTTACACAGCAAAAAAAAATAATTTCCCCACAGGGATTATTAAAGTATTTCTGAAAAGAAAGCCAGTGAAGTCTTCAAGAGCTTCACGGAGGATGTGCAGAGTCTCCAGGATTGTCTGGAGGAGGTGACCAAAAGGGAAACAAACCCGATAGATGTAGCTGTGGGAGTCGGCAAGGTGCTTTGTAAAGTTGGTGTTGTTGGGAAAGGCATTGATTCACTTGTTGATGCTGCCTCTGCTGTTAAGATGTTGAAAAGTGAGGAGCTGATTACAAGTGCTGGCAAGGTGGTGGTCCAGGAAGGTAAAGCATTACGTAACGTTCCCAGAGTGGCCTCAGACATCCCAGATGTTGGTCAGGCAGCAGTCAAAGGGCCTCTTGCCCTCTCCAACTCAGCCAGGGTAGGTTTTATCGCAGCCAATGCTCTTTTCCTTGGGATGGATATCTTCTTCATCTGTAAGAACAGCATCAGTCTGTCCAAAGGCAGTGAGGCTAAATTCTCACAGTTCATCAGAGCCAGAGCTGCACTCTGGAGCTCAGAGATAGACTCATGGCAGAAGATTCATGACTCCCTGAGCGAAGGTCTGGTGAGATCAGGGAAAAACCAAATTATCATGGAGACGCCATTTTATCCGGAGATGGAGACGTAGAAGAACCAGAGAACTAAACCAAACCAAAGAGAACCAGAAATGGAAATTCCATCTGATGAAGTGGATGAGGACGAAAAACTGAAACTGAAAGAAAAGTATTGTGTAATACAGTAGTACTCTGTGAGGAGAGATTACTGTGTGCCTTTTTGCCAACTTTAACACTATGATCAGATATGAGATAATTTGATATGATCGAACCATGTGTGAAAATGCAACTCTGCTTATAGCTCACTGTTGAGCATCAAACATGTAACAATGTATCTTTGAGGGTTTCTTAATGATCTGTAATTTCAATGACATATATTGATTGACCTGATATATGGACTGTGTGTTTCTATCTTGACTGTATTTAAGAACCCTTTGCCCGTTGCAGAACATAATGTATATAGGTATCATTTAGTAATACCTGCTTTACCTGACCTGGGTAAGGTGACCAACTTTACCGTCTCTGCTGACATAGGAGAAAAAAAAACGAGCTGTCCTGGAGATGCATTTTCTTCCAGAGAGGGAGATGAAGGAACACAGAGACTAAATTAAATTTCTATCTGATGAATATCAGATAGTGGTCACTATATCTGTGGCAACTGCCAATAGCAGTAAAGCACTGATCAGCATCAAACATGAGTCTATCTTTGATTAATATTAGCTCTATTTCTGATGACACATGATTTATTGAGTCCACATTTGAACTGAATCACATGGGCTATATGTTTTTGTTTGATCGAATTTATATTCTGCCATTATGAAGCTTGACTCGATGCATTAAATGTCATTCAGTTACTGAGAATAAAATTATGTGAAAAACTACTTTAGAACTGCAATGGGTTGCATTTTAAAATGATTAAATAAACGTTTTCCCATATACAAACATTGTTGTCTTATGGAAAAATAAAATTCAGTGTATAGTTTAGATTGTATGAGAATAATGTGAGGTGTCACGTCTGCTTCATCTACCGTATCAGAACACAGAGATGCCAAATGTTTTTGTTTCAGAAACTGGAGCCATTTTTCTATAGCTGTGGTGTCAGTGGGGGTACCTGCTTTACCTGTTGTTGCAAAGTGTTATTTTTGTAATGTTTTCACATTTTACAATCAATCTTATATCTGTTTCCACTCATTTTATTTTAAGCACTTTTTTTCTTGAATTGTATTCAATAAATGTATCTAAATTTAAGACACAGTTTGAGTTCCTTTATATGATATGTATCAGTAAGAATGAAGGTAAAATCACTTCACAAATCTCTTGTAAAATGTGGTTTGTTCATTATTTAGGCAAACAAAGTAAGATTGTGATTTTTGGGTATTAAGAAGAGGATTTGGTGCTCCTGGCAGCATGTGCTGTATCCTGCTATATTCTCATTCACTTTCATTTTCATTTAATGACAAAGATGAAGCTCGTATGAATATGCTTTAAACTCAGACTAGGGATAATCAAGAAAAACATTCCTACTTCAGCAGATGAAAGTGAAATCTGCCTTGAAGAGTAAAACTCTGTACATACATCATTCTGCACAGGGAAGTTCTAACATTCAAGTGGAGGAACAATAAGAAGGGCACCTTAGAAACAGAAATGCAAGGACAACTTTGTGCCTAAAGAGATCTCAATTTTAACCAGTAGGGGGCTCCAGAGACTGGATCAGCTTGAACACTGGTCCCCAGTTGCAAGATTTCCTGGCAAAGACCCGTTTACACTTACGCTTTTGAGACTATGAACTTTTGGAAGTTCTGGTTATATGATAAAAATGATAAAGGCAGATAAAAGAGGTGAATAAATGTCAGAATGACACAATTTAAACTGGGTAAATCAATAAAGGGTAAAAAGCAGACATTCCAACAGTCTATACTGCGTTTTAGTTTTGTATTAATGAGCTCTTGAAAAAAATAAAACAATTTCCTTCCAGGAAACCACATTGGTATCATTGGTGTGAGGGACATAAAGTCCCTTGTTTATGCAGTTTGCAGTAACGGCTGGAAGCTTGATGAAAGCATTCATTTCAATACCACAGGAACTGATATCTTTTTATTGTGCAGATGGCAAATAATGTCAGCAAGCTGCTGACAACTGTCATTCTTACACAATATCTGCGCAAGTTCTCCTTTTTAATGGACGCTCCAGCCAAACAGTGAAGATGGCATGTGAAAGAGAGCGGCCCTGCTTGGCCTCATGGCACAAAGTAAATGTGGTGATGAAAAACTAATCAATGTTCTGTACATAAGGATTCATCCAGGTCCATTCTATGTGGTTAAATGCTCCCTTAACCTCAACTGCTCCAGCGAAACTGTTCAGTGGACTGAGGCTGTACTGGGTAGCTTCCAGGTATGAATCTATGCTGTGGAAAGACTGGAAATACAGGGCTCTATTTTAACTTGTATTATTGATGTTTTATAGGTCACCCAGAATTTTCTTTGGATCTCCCTTAACTTGAAAAACTGTGACATCCTCAACCCTAATCTCTAGTTTATAGGCCGAGAGGCATTTTATATATGAGTAGATGTCCTATCAAACCAGTTACAGGGTCCCTGAGTCACAAATGGTCAGACATTTGTCTGATTTCCTCCAGACAGCTGTTCCAAACAGCAAATATAAGAAAGGGCACTTTTACAACTGTCATTCTGGAAGCAAACATCTGCTTTACAGGCAATACATTTTCATATAAAAAAAAATACTGATAACAATTAATAAATGCCTGCCTGACTTTCAGTGGGTCAACTCAGGACATTACTTTCATTTTTACTTTTGTCTTAAACACACTGACTACTAGTTCCTCTTTTGTAAATTCCCTTTAACACTCCTGGAAACACTACATTCATTTTCATTTGGGCGTAGCCTAAAGTAAGAGAAAGCAAGGACAGCTAGGAGGGAGGAGAGGGGAAAAAATGGGAAAACCAGAAAACATTTTCTCCATAAAATATGATCCAGTTTCACTAGAATCTGCCACATAGTTGGTGGTGTGTTACCAAGATGATGACCATGGTAACAATCATTCCTGCCTAGCATCAGTATGTTAATAATGTTATTGCATTTGCTTGATTTAACTTATATTCAGCCACTATGAAGCTTGAGAATTTTGTTTCAGAAACTGGAGCCAGTTTTCCATAGCTGTGGTGTCAGTGGGGGTAGCAGCTTTACCTGTCCTTGCAAAGTGTTATTTTTGTAATGTTTTCATTTTACAATCAAACCTAAAAACTCTGTACATACATCATTCTGCAAAGACCCCCTTTACACTTTGGCTTTTTCTACCACTGAGGTGCCCTTGAGCAAGGCCATTAACCCCAACTGCTCCGGTGGAACTGCTCAGTGGCCAGCAGATCAGACTGTGGTTGTGTGGTTTATAGGCCTAGAGGCAATTCATATATAAGATTATATGTCTCGCTGTCTGTCACAATCAAACCAGTTACATGGTCCCTATTACATGTGCTCAGGCATTTGTCTGTGTTACAACCTCAAATGTGAAATCCAGGGGTGAGAGGAGCAACAATTAATGAATAACCCAGGAAAAGAGAAAAATGGAAAAACTGAATAATATGTACCAACAAAACTATCTATTAATCAGGTTAATGTCTTACTTACAAATGAAAAGCTCAAGGTTTCAACAGAAATATACTTTCTTAAAACAGAAAGTGAAAATAGCGTTTCTCTCTCAGGGGAGGGTGACCTTAAGTGTTTATTTGCTTCATGGTTTTTGTTTCAGTAATAGCACACACGCACACACAGACGACGTACAGTACAACACAACTCTGTTTCGCAGTTTGCTTGCTGTTGTCCTTGTTTTGAAGCTGGTTGGACTGATTGATGAAGTATTGTCGGAGGGGAGGGCGATACCTGGAACAGGGCACACAGAACAGGGCAGAAGCAAAACAAAACACCACACTATACTCGTAACACCCCCTCCCATAAGAGCAAACCATTAGTTTGCTAAAGGGGCTTAACAAAACATAGCTTTAAAATGACACTAGCCCAATTGGAGAAAAGAAGTAGATACCTCTTCAAGTAAGTTATATGTTGAAACTAAAATTAAGTTGGCTTTACATTCAAAAACTTAAGTAGCTTTTACAAAGACCTGCCTTGCTACATCTAAATAATAATATGATGCAAAAAGTTGCCTTGATTTTTTAAAAAGTAAATCATGCAGAAAATTTTCATCAGTATAAAGTCTAAAAGACCTTTGGGTGTAAAACTATATCAAATACCAACTGCAAATTAATGAACATGGGCTGTATGTTTTTGTTTGATTAGATTTATATTCTGCCACTATGAAGTTTGACTCGATGCATTATATGTCCTTCAGTCACTAAGTTACAAGAATAAGATTATGTGAAAAATCCCTTCACCTTGGAACTGCAATGGGCTGCATTTTAAATGATTCATACATTTTTTTCCCATATACATTTACTGTAACAGAAAACAGAGAAGCCAAATGTTTTTGTTTCAGAAACAAGAGCCAGTTTTCCGTAGCTGTGGTGTCAGTGGGGGTACTTGTTTTACCTCAATACAGGCTTTGTCTGCCTGTATATGTCACGGGGGAAGTTTGATTTTATTTAAGCATGCTTTTACTTTGAATTTGCTGTGTTTTTGTCTTATTTATTATTGCATGCTTTTATTTTGAAGTGTGTTTGTGTTACGTTGGTTTTACTTCCCCACCGGAGACATACCTTAATCAAGCATAAGGACTTACACCTGGCACCCAGAGAGGGGAGTGACTGTTCTTGGATAAAAAGGACACTATGGAAGATACCCGAGGGCACGAGGGAGGACACAGAGGGCACGAGGGAGGACACGGAGGTCACAACGGGCCGGACAGCAGGAAGCAGACAGAGAGACAGAGCAGATCATCGCACTGGAAGAGGTCTGAAGAGACACCGGAGCAAACACCGACCGTTAGCGGCTATAATTGGGAGAAGGTAAAACTTCTCCCTCCCGCGTAAGTCCCGTTTCAGACCGGTGTTTGTGTAGTGTGTAATATATAAAGTTGTGCCTTGTTAAAGGACATTGACTGGCCCTGAGTTTCCCTCGACAGGCTGCCAAGAGCGGAGCCAGGTGAAGAGCAGGTGGTCGCCACCAGAGACCCGCGACTGCCGTTGTTGACCTCCCACTCCATCCGTGCCACATTATTTTAGCTGGGTTTTAGTTGTTTGTGTTCTTTGTTTAGTTTATTTGAAGGTAGAGCTTTTAGTTGTTTTTACTTATTTTAAAATAAATTGTGTTCAACTGTGTTCCACTGGCTGTACTCATTGTTTTAAAATAACACTGTTTACTGCTCTCCCCGACATAAAAGAACCTGTTTACCCTAACTTTAATTTGGTGATCCTAAGAGGTCCTAGGCCTCAGTTAAACCTAGGTGGCGTTGTCGGCACTTGTGTTTTAATTTATCCACCCTTAGCACGGCTCACATTTTGGCGTTGTCGGCAGGATCGGGTACAGAGAGCAGTGTGGTGTATTTTAAAACAGTGAATATGATGATGCCTGTATATCCTGGTGCCCCTTGGCTGCCAAAGTTTAAAGGACCAAATTGTGACCTGAAATATCATGACTGGAAGGAGCAAATACAGGGCTTACTTGGAGCGCAAGAGCTAGCAGAGGCCAGAAAAATTGACATTGTGTTGGGTGCGTTAGCTGGGGAAGCCAAACGGCAGGTCAGTGTTTTAGAGGATGACGAAAGGGATAGAGTACGCAAAATCTTTCTGTATTTGGACTCTCTATATGGAGACAGAACCCCCGCCCCAGTGTTAAGGTCTCAGTTTTTTAGTTGTGTCCAAAGACCAGACGAGACTGTGCCCTCATTCATTCTAAGACTAAGAGAGCTGTATTGCAGGTTGCGGCAACATGACCCTGATGGAACTCCCCTGACACAGTCCTGCGAGACCACTGCTGTTGGGGCTGCGTGAAAGTTCCCTGGCTCAGGCCCTGAAGGTCTATGCCCGCCGTAACCCT